CCCCAGCCAGGCAACAAATGAGTGTCCCTTCCCCAAGGGCCTCCAGTTCATTTGCACACACAGCAGAAGTGGGTTTCAAAGCTGTCACTGCTGGCTTGATCCCCACTCCAGCCTGGTACCTATGAATGAAGCTCCTATGACCACCAGGTTCTTCCCAGTTGCCAGCTCTAAGATCTTGTTAGAGTCTTCTGGGGTTTGGAGGATGCACACGTTCTGCAGGTCTGCACCTGGGATTTCAGGGAAGCTGGAGCTGAAAGAAAGAGAATCCAGATACATCTCATGATGAGAAATGAAACAGAAAGAATGAGGTGGGAGCACAAACCTGTGCAATCTCTTGTCTGTGTCATCCCATCCTGTCCTTTTGCCTCTACCACCTCCCCTTCACAGGCCTCTGGAAGGCCCCAGTGTTGACCCATCTTGTCCTGTCTAAAATTCTGTGTGTGGCAAATGCTTGGTGCACTCACTGGCTGCCTGTCGCTATGAGCAGCTGGTTGTACTTCTGTGAAGACCCATCCATGAAGCTGACCTTCTGCTTCTGGAAATCCACCGACACTGCCTGCAGGAGAAAGGAGGCACAGATCGGGCAGGCACCTCTGGTCCACCCGTGTCCTGCCACGTCAATCCCTTCTGCTTGCCCGTGACTGCATGCCCTATTTCTGGACACTTAGGTGAGATGAAGAATGCTGGGGCCCTCTCTCTCACTTCCTACAGGTCCTTGGCTTTAGGAGCACCAAGTGTGGCAGCACCACATCTAGGTCCCACTAAAGGGTGTGCAGAAGGCTAGTTTCAAGGGTCAGTCTCTTTGCATGTGATGGGTCCGTCTGTCTGTGGACAGCAGAGATCAGTGCTACACCCCAGGCATGCACACCATCCCTAGCACTGGTCTGGGAATGCTGTCCCAGAAGATAACACCTGTACACAGGCAGAGCCCTCATTTCTATAAACATAGCTCTCTGCCTACAGACGTGGGTATCCCCTCCCCATGGCAGGAACAGGACCCCCCATTTAGGACTGAGCTCAACTGCTCTTGTACCTCTTTCTCTGTCCAGATCTCTATGCCACGAGCAGCAAGGAATTCAGGTTTCCTCAGGTAGATGTCCTCGGCTTTCAAGTTCATTGCCTGGGAACAAAACAGAAATATGAAATACGGCACTTCTCACAGACTGCAATGCTCTTGCAGTGATTACTGGGAAGTAAGTTTGCGTAAGAGGTGAATTTCACATTTGTAAATCCCAGCTCCCCACACTGCCCCATCCCCATCATCTTGTCCCCCCTCAGAATAAAATCTCAACTCAAACTCTAGTGGGAAGAACCCCATGAAAGGGGATGAAACCATTAGCTTATGGTGGACTCTGATCAAAGACTTTCTGGGAGGAAGAAGTGAGATGTTTGCTGGAAATTATACCCTTTTCCTTGTGGGTGCCTTGTCACTCCTTCTGCTTTGCCAGAACAGCTCACTCAGTTGCTCAGCCTGGTCCTGAGTGTGGACCATGCCCCTAACTCATGTGTGGTACCCAGGCACAGTCCAGCCCTCCTCACATACGAACCTTGCTCAGTTTGGACTTGTCATATGGAACATGCTTCTCTCTGGTGACCATGATGATCCTGCCAGTAAAGCCCTCTTGGCGAAGTGTCTCTGCACACACCAGGGCAGCCACACCTACAAGAGAGGCTCATCTCAGCCCTCTTACGCATCCCGATGGAGTAGGAGGAAGAAGGCAAGCCCTCCCTGGAGAAGAGAGTGGCAGCTCACGGGGTATGTGGGGAGGTCACTGTTCAGAATGCTTCACTGACCTCCCCCCAAAAGCAGCTTCGTGTCTCGGTTGAGAAGGCATTGCTTGCTTGTGTCCTTCACCCTCAGGCTGCTTTCAAGATCCTAGAAGTGAAAAATGCTGAAATCATACCTAGCCCGAGGTGCTGCTTGTGCTTAGTGGTATCAGGTAAGGTCAGTACCTTCTTTTTTGCTGTTACAAACACCTTTCCATCTTTCACGGTTACCTGAAGGGGTGAAAGGAGAGCGCATTTAAGTGCTGCATTCATGAAGTGGTGGTGGGAGCTTTCCTAGGAGGTTCTGATCCTGTGGACTATCTGTCTCTGATACACCAAGAAGGACTTCTAGGGATTTTGGATGTCAAATGATACTGAGGAGCTCGTGAGCTTTTCTCCTCATCCCAAGAGCACTCAGGAAGAGGTGTAAATCTCTTTTGCTTCCCAGAAGAGCTGTGCTGGCTGTGAGGGACAGCAGGATGTACAGCATCACCTTTGATCAAAAGGGGCTTTAGGACACAGATTTACATGATCCCAAGAGATCTGGACCACAGAGCGGTGGTCGGGGCAGAGCCCTTTCAGTCGGTGACAGGAACACAGAGCTTGTGCGAGTGAATGGATGTGAGGGGTATGGAGGACATGGCCCGAGCTGGGAGGAGGAAGAGACAAGAAGTCACCTGAAAGGAGGGCAGGCAGTCCAGAGAAGGGTACTCCTCGATGTCTCCGGTTTTGATGTTAAAGCAGGCGCCGTGCCACGGGCAGCGCAGCCTCTCCCCTTTCAAGACTCCTGCGATAGAAAAGCCCCCCACAAGCGAGCGGTGAGAGCTGACCTTCCTGACACGGCTTCTTCCCCTCCACCCAGCACCAGGGTTACCTTTGCTGAGCGGAGCACCATAGTGGGGGCACTTGCTGCCCAGGGCGCGGAACTCATTCTTGTTCCTTACCAGTAACACCGGGTAACCGGCCACCATCACTTCCAAGAGCCTGTGGGAGAGGTGGAGATGTGGGAGCCCCAGGAAGCCGAGGCCACTTGCACCAACATGCCGCTCCCTCGACCAACAACATGGCTGCCGCCAACATGGCAGCCGCCAACATGGCAGCTGTTGCCATGGCGATGCCAGGCCTCAGCCTTCCCCACCACCAAATACTCACGCTCCATCCTCAACGTCATCCTCCTTGCAGACCTCAGCGATTATAGTGTTGCTGCAGTCCGTGACGGTGGCTGTGGACCAGCAAAGCGAGGGGTTGGCCACCATGGATGCTGTAGGTGCTGTCTTTCCCTCCTTGGCAGTTAGTCCTTCCCACACACCCTTGTGTCTACTCTGCAAAATCCCATCCCAAAATGCAGGGCCAACACTACCCCGGCCGGATGGAGGTCACCACTGTGTACTTGAAGGGTCCCAACATCCTAGTACAGCAAAAACCTGCAACTAGTGGTAAAAAACCCATTTTTCCCTTTTTTAACTTTGCCTCCTAACCTACAGCCCATTCCCCTGCCCTTTTCTTCTCCAACTTAACCCACTTTTTGTTTTCAACACTATCCCATTAAACTCAACTGCAGCACGGAGGGAGCAAGCAAATATGATTAATGACTGCTGTAAATATATAAAATTATTTATGGCTAGGTGCTGCCACCATAGCCTATGGCTCCCCCAGATTGACGCCTGAAGAGCTGCTTCAGCCTCTCCAAAGCCCCTCTAATACTTGTGCAAATAAATTATTCCATTATTAATTGCCATGAAAGCAATAATCCCTGCCCAAAATGCCTCCTGGGCTAGAAAAGAGCCAAAAACTTTAGTCCTTAGCACTGTCCCTGCCTTAGCAGTCAGCTGAGAGGTTGGTCAGAAATCTCCCTGTCTGTTTTACAGGGAAAAAAGCAGGAAATGGAGCAGAGGAGGCTCATTTGAGGCAAGTTTCCTTTCAAGGTAGTGACTTGCTCCTTCAAATCCCTACTCCGGGGTCCCATAGGAGAAGCATCAGTGGGTACTCACCCGGTCCTGCCATGGGGGTCCAGTGATAGTCCCTCAAATCAGAAAGCCACCGTTGCCGCCGTCCGTGAGTTTCTCCTTCGTGTCCTATTGCAAGTGCTCTCCCCACCACCAGCCCACGGCTGGGTGATGCTGTCCCCAAGTTGCACAACGTCCTCATCCGTCAGGAGATGCACCTCCTGGCAGCAGCCGCCTGCCAGTGAGGCTTATCTGATTTCTGCAACTGGTCTGCGCCTAATTAAGCGTATTTTGCTCCGGTTAAGAATTGCAAAAGAACTAAGGGCACATTGGAATTATGGGGCAGGTGTGGTCTAAAGACTGGGTGCGCCAAGTGCAATGTGAACAGAAACCTGAGTGGATGCAGCGATACCCCACTGCACCTCCCCATTGCCCCTTTTCTTGCTCTAGCTCACTGCAACGTGTTTTTGCAGGATGATATCACTACTTTTCATATGTTTCTATAAGGTTTAAAATTATTTAATTTCATCTTTTTGTAAGAGCCTCTCTCTCTCTTTCTGTTGATTTTAGGGAATATGTACGTTCCTTAGGTGCCAGCTCTGCTTCTGCTTCAGCCTGATGATGTCCAGGCATGTGGTCCCGTTGTCCCTTGGTCCGTGACGGGTGGCACGGAGCTGTGTGCTGTTTGCTGTACTATTTTTGCAACAGAGTGGGAGTTGCAAAAAAACGGGAGTAACGCCTACGCTGTTTGCGTCTACTCCAGTTCTTATCTCTAGTCCACAGTCAGTATGTTTCACAACCTTAAAATATGCCTCAAAATTTAGAGGAAGAAAAGTTACCAGCAGTGTGCTCCTATTATCTCCCTTACAGAACTGGAGCGTTGCAGGGACCAGCTTTCTGCCAGGCAGCACATTCCCAAATCCGGGTAAAAAATCCTTTGGTGGGAACAGCCTGAAGAAAAGGGCACACACAGAGGGATGCTTGGTAAGTGCAAGCTGGATAATTCGTGAAGCAGCTCGCTGTGTCGGACCTGCCAAGCTGTGGGCACAGGTTTCAGCACCAGGGCGCTGCCATGATCGTAGCCCACGGGCAACGCACGCCCATGACGGGCGCAGGTGCGAGGCATTTTCTCACAGTGCCAACGAGCAGCTTTTGGGCTCTGCCTTCCTGGCCAGAAGCCTGAATGTGAAGCAATTTGGCTGCCAAACAGCCCTGTTTAAACTCTTTGTAATTATTCCCCAGCAGCGTGTTCCCACGTGGAGAAGCAGCAGCTCTTGCAGAGGCATTCTCTGACTCAGCAGAAATCGCTGGAAAACGTTGTTTGCTCATGGATGAAAGCTGCAGCGCGCCGGCAAAGTGGCAGGTACGAAGGCGTGCAGCTGCAGGAGGCTGCGGGACAAGCGAGGTGGAGCTCGGTCCCATGCAGTGACATTCACAATGTGGGGCTGAGCAGCTAATTCAGCTCCTGGATGCCGATGGATGCTGCTGGATGCAGCTGAAGACCCAGGGAAAGGCTTTTTTGTGCAAAGGGAGAAAGGTGAAGCAAAATCCTCACCTCTGTTGGGGGCAAAGATGATGGCAAAGGATGGAAAAATTGAAAAGGGTGCTGGGTGTAAGAGGGAAGTTTGAGGTAGCTGCAGGGATGCTGCAGGGAGACTGCGATTAGGAAGATGCCTCATGCCCTCGAGGGATTCAGGCAACGGGATGGTATTGGAGGCAGATTTTCAGGAAGATGCTCAGTCAGCAACTTTTGGCCCTCTGTTAGGTGACCACAGAGGTAATACTCAGAGGGGCTGAGGCCTTAAATGTGGAAAGGAAGGAAAAGAGCCACAGGAAGCAGTGCCCTCAAACGCGAACAGAGCCCAGGTAGGCATCGGAAACCTCTGACGGGACCTGCTGACCGCACCGATGCTGAGTCACACGAGCTGCACTCGTATTTTATTAGAGATCTTTGCTTCCGCTGTGTCTCTCCAGTATGGTCAGCACTCTGGAAAATTCAAGTTTAGAGGCAAAGATTTAATGAGGGTAGCTCTTCTACCTTCAGTCCCTACTCCCATCAGCTGTTGTAGCACAATTTTTCACGCCGTGGCTGTAGCCTTGTCCCACCTCTGCTTGCCCTCACCTTGCTCAGGCCGGGGTCCTTCCCTGCCCTCACAGACCTGCTGATTTTCACCGAGTCGAGTGTTATTGGAGACTGTTGAGGGACAGGAAGAGGAAGTGAGGTGAAAACTGCAGCAGAGCTAAAATGATTAATGGGACACGGCTCTCGGAACAGCTTGGTTTGTGATATTAATAACGAGAATTCAGGAGGGAACCTAACCTGTTCCAAGCTGCGGAGCCGGCAGCAGCGGGAGACGCAGTTGGGAAGCTCCTGTGCTTATATTTGTAACACGGGAGGAATTGAGTGGGCTCAGCAATGGGTGATGCTGCATGGAGCGGGTGTAGGGGCTGAGATGTGCTTCCACCTTGCAGGGCCCATTCTGAACCTGTCAGAATTGCAAAATAAAACCCCATGCGGTCATAAATGCATCACAGTGCAAGCAGAAAGCACATAGATATCTGTCAGAAATTACTTAAGCTTGAGAATGATAAACAGGGGAAAAAATGTTTGTCCCACAAGGGAAGAAGACATGGAAAAGGAAATATTTAATGGGAATGAATATGCTTACTGGGTAGGAATAGTTATATGTGCGGTTTTGCATTTTCTTCCTAAGCATTCATGTCTGGCAATGGTGAGAGATGGGATACAGGCAGGGCAGACACCTGGCCCTGTGCTTCACTGTTCACCACAACAAAAGGAAGGAACCTGGAACCTTCCTGACAGCACCAGATAAACAATGCAGAAAGCAGACAAATTTGGGGCATGTCAGCTGCTGGAAGCAGAGGAGGAACATAAGGAGCTGCCCGTGCTACTGTGCTGGAAGGGGTTTTGCCAGCCAGTGTGTCTGGTGATGACATTTTTAAAATTCCACCATACACCTGTGCAACCAGAGTGAAAAGGAAAGAGCACATCCTTTGCACAGCCAAATCAAGGCAGTTGGTCCAGCCCAAGCCCTTGAGAGACAGCAGAGCCTGCAGCATCCCTGCGAGCACCCAAAACCCCATCCAGGAGTGGGGAGCATCTGAGGAAGGACACAGTTCATCTGGCACAATTCCTATGGGGAATTACCAGTAAACTGGTGGCCCGATATTGTGGAAAATGGGTTATCTGTCCTAGATGTGCTGCAGAGAAACTCCTGCTTGTAGGGGAATAAAAAAGCCATTGTCCAGCTATTGAAAAAAACTTCTGCACCCTCGATTTATGTCTTAGCTGCTGCTGTAAAACCCCTGCTATGGGATCAGCTGCGGCCCCCACAGCATTTTAGGATGGACCTAGGCACGTCCTTGCTGACATCTTGAAGGCATCTGCTGGGAGCAGGCACCGGCAGCGACCCCTCACCAGGCTGGACTGCCCCCCCTGCATAAAATGAGGCCGTTTTGTTGGGAAACTTCTCAAAATTTGGATGAAAAAGGCAGTATCTCCAAATAAGGTGGGAATGAGGAGTTCCATCAGAGCGGGCTGCTCTCCCCGGCTCTCCGGCGGGCGTGCAGGGACCTCTTGTGGCAGCTGTGCCAGGAGCTCCTGTCACAGAATCACAGAATGGCTCGGATGGAAAAACCCTCTTAGATCATCACGTCCAACCGCTCCTGTCTACCCCCTAAACCATATCCCTAAGTACCTCGTCTACCCGCTCTTTAAACACATCCAGGGATGGTGACTCCACCACCTCCCTGGGCAGCCTGGTCCAGCTTCTGACGACCCTCTCAGGAAAGAACTTCCTCCTTATCTCTAACCCTGTCCCTGCTGTTGCGCCAAGCCTGGCCTCAAAGCCTGTGGCTGAACATTTTTCACTCGGTTTGGTGTCAAGGGACCTGTCTGTAACTGGGCTTGGGAGTCTCCAGCTCCAAACCTGTCCCCTGTTAATGCCGTTGCTGCAGAAGAAGGAAGACAAGGAGAAAGAGCTGGGCTTGTAAGAAACCACTGCCTGATGGCAAATCCTGGTAAAATTAAGTAAAATTTGGGCTAATACTATCAGAAAAGTAATATTTATGTAGCTGTTGGTAGTGCTTTAGCAGTGGGACCAAAGACCCTGACCCAAAGGCTCAATTAATCATGGTTTAACTTCCTCCCAAGTGCACGTGGCAGGTAAAAGCTCTCCAGCATCCAGAAACATTTTAACTATTCCTGTCCCCAAGCCTGGCCAAACGTTCATCATTGGAAGGATAACACGGAGGATGGAGGAGCTCCTAGGACAAACAGTGCTGGGATT